AGCAGTAGCAGTAGCAGTAGCAGTAGCAGTAGCAGCAGCAGCCAGCAGCAACAACAACAACAACAACAACAACAGCAGCAGCAGCAGCAACATCATTATCATCGTCATGATCAGCAGCCGCAGCAGTGGCTCAAGGGACACGGGAAAATGACATTCAAGTTTTATCCATCATTCGGTAATGTATTCGGTAACATTTTAATAAGATTACAATATATATTCAACATTATAATTCGATAGTATAACAAGTAATGCTGTATATTATCTAGTCAGATCAGTATGTTATTGGAGTATATTAGAATTATCGAGTCTAATTATTTATATATCGAGTCAGACTGGGGAAGACGGGATGGGGGAAAGCATTCGCACGCAACCTCCCAACATACTACCTCCTGACCTTCCAAATGCTATCGCGTATCTGCGCTTCGGAGCGGTTCTTGGGCAGAGCCAGCATCTCACTACGCGGGGAGATTGCCGCCTTGAAGGCCGTGGGCGAGATTCCCAGAGGTCTGAAGGAAAGAACAACAAACGTACGTTGATACTGACTGCGATGTTGATTGACTGAGGCGCATGTACATATACACACATACACACACGTACACACGCACGCACGCACACGCACTCACGCGCGCACACACACAACACACACACACGCACGCACGCACGCACACACACACATGCGCGCGCGCACGCACGCACGCAATCACGCACGCACACACACACGTGCCTTAGCCGTCTCTTGATAACTAGGAGCAGAAAATCGCTCCGCAAAGAAGTCCATCAAAGGCTATACAAAGACGTACACAAAAGACATCTGGCGACCATTTGATTTCTAACTTCGCGCGCGCACGCGCCTTATCAAACGTCTGCTTATCTCGGCCACGTTGCCGCCACCGGCTTCTCATTCCACGGATATATAATCGACACTTATTTCACGCTCGCGAAATACCGATCGAGTGACAATGAAGGATGGCAGAACGCTGCACGCTCCCATCCCCCATCCTCCCCCTTTCCCCAGCCTCCCCCTTCCCCAGCCTCCCCCTTCCTCCAGCCTCCCCCTTCCCCCAGCATCTCCTCCCCCAGCCTCCCCTCCCCCAGCCTTCCCCTTCCCTCAGCCTCCCCTCCCCCAGCATCCCCTTCCCCAGCCTCCCCCTTCCCCAGCCTTCCCCTTCCCTCAGCCTCCCCCTTTTCCCAGCCTCTCCCTTTCTCCATCCTCCCCTTTATCTCTCCTCATGTCGATGCGCTCGATGCGCTGTTCCCGTATTAATCCGTCGACGGAAAAGCCTCTGACCAGTTTTATTTAGACTGAGATTACATCAGGACAGTAGTTGAATGCCCGCGTCTCTCTCTCGTCTCTCTCTCTATCTCTCCTCCAATCTGCTCTCTCATTCTCAGGACATGTAATTCCTTTACTTAATTAATATTAAATTATTTATTATTATTAGTAAATGTTATCACATTCATATCATTCTTATTAGCTTTCCATCTATACAATAAAACACGTACATGTAATAACGCAGTGGCTGACGTCATCATACACTGCTTTTCTGTCGATTCAAGTCCGGCGGTAACGTGTTCAAGCTGTGGTCCGTGCCTCGACCCATCGTCACCGTACCACCGATGGCTCTGTCTGCCCCCAGCCGACCCCTGCCTGGGCACGTGTCCTCTCGTCAACCATAGAAGCTACACAACCAAGAGTACCTGGAGAGCAGCGTACAGGTGGCCAGCACCGGGTCCAATATTAGCCAATCGGCGCGGTTGCGTGACGTCAGCGCCGCTCGCGCGTGTGAAGTGGGCAGACGTTATGATAGTTTTTCGATAAATTTTTTTTTGATTCTCAGACGAATGCGCATCTGCTATGCGATTTTTAAGCTAGTCATCGAAAATTAGAGTTCTTGCAACTTCTGCGGCCATGAGTGGGTGGCTGTTTACGCTGCGCGTTCGTGTATGTAACGGCGCCTGCGAATTATACACAGTGGACGCTGGACCAGCGATACGTTTGCCATAGCCCAACGATTATAATTTTATTCACGTCTTTTTACTCACATTAAAGTCATATGCCAATATGATGACCTAATGATGTCATAAATACTTGTACTATCTGCGGACAGAACGAGTTGTACACAGAGAACACCAGTGCACAACTCTCCCTGATCACATGTTGGCAGTTTTTATGAAGCTTTTATCTAAAATTGTTACTAGTCACGTGTCCTCTACATACAGCCTGGTAAGCGTAAGTTTGGGTGGGCTAGGTTATAAGCTGTTCTGTTCAGATTATTGTGGGGTTAGGATTTTGGTTATAGGTATAGCGTTACTGTTAGAGTTATGTCATTGTTAATGGCCAGGGTTGTTATGGTTATATTAGGTTACTAACTGTTGTGGTCGTTGTGGTATAGATTTCTGGATGGTGAGGTGTAATTATGTTGGCCATTGTTTTCACATGTGGTGATTAGGTTTATGGGTGATAATAGGCGTGCGGATCATTAATAGGCCTAATCGTTTTTTGCTCTTTTGCAATTGGTATTAAGAAAAGAAAAGTGTAAACGAGGCTACGGACGAAGGCTGCATCTTGATCTCGATTATTATTTATTATGTGTAAATTAATATATATATAAATATATAATATTGGTATGTATATTATTAATATATTGATCATAATTAATGAAGTTAGGAAGCAGCAGATATTTGTTGTAGTAATTGATATAGTAGCGAGTATTATAGTAATTAAGTAGTAGTGGCCTACTAGTAATCAGTAAGCTTAAAGGCGTAAAAAGGCATTAGCAATTTACCGATTTTTGATCTATGTTGATAAAAACATACAGAAACCAATATTCCCGACTTTCAGACTATTTCTACGGCGTTTGCTACGCGTGGGAGTCACGTGTCATTCGGTTAGTGACTAGTGAAATATGTAGAGCATTTATTCTAAACAAATGATACTCGCTAGATATTCGCATAATTGTGAGATATATAATTGTCCCTCCACGGATAACAAATAGCTGAGTAAAAACGAAACATTTAAAATAACCACTAAATGCCCCTTTATAATATTATTGTGCTTGTTGCGAGCTTGCGAAACTAAATATGATTTTTTTAATTATTGCATTGGGGCAGAAAAAATTCATTTTAATTGTTTCTTTATTTTTGGCGAAAGCGGCGAATTTCTTCATTTTGTGGAATAATCGCGATGAAATAATCAATAATGTTTCAAGATAAATGTCAATTATTCGAGAACGCATTTGCGTTTTTGCTGCAAATGGGGAAATTTTACCGGAAATTCGAGACCATTTCTTATGTGACTAAATGTCAAAAATATAGGATTTCAGTGAATAGAATCTTTTTATCGAATGTTTGTGGCTACACAATCATTACCTAATAGAGTTTAGGGTGGCGATTTTTGAGCGAGTATTCCTAAATCATATTCAACTTATTTCTTGTATTCTGTCAATGCATCTGAAAGAATTTTCAAATTTAGTTGCTCTTTTAACCTCGATCATGATCTTGTTATGAGTTTGCTTTTGATTTTTTATCGGGAGGAAATGTTTCCAATGTCAAATTAGGTGTAAATGAAATTTTGTATCACTCCTAATTAATAAAACAAACGTTTTATATTTTCATTTCTTTTTTTTTATCTGAAAAGTTTTAAATGTGAAATGAAATTTAAAGTAAAATTTCAATTCAACTCTCAATATAAAAACAAATAAACGTTTTTATTTCATTTAACTTTTAAAATCCTGGAAAAGTTTTTAATAGTGAAATCTTAACAATAAACTGAAAATTTCGTCAGCCCGTTCTTGCCTTGTATCTCTACCACCCTCACCAACAGCACACACACAAACCACACACACACACACACACATCACACGACCACACACACACACACACACGACACACAACACACACACACAAACAAACACACACCATACACACACACCACACACACACACACACACAACACACTGCACACACGCCGGCGACACACACACACACACACACACACACATAACATATATATACTATATATATATAATAATATATATATATAATGTATTTCCAGCGGACGGCACGTGATAAAGCGCACATGGTCGGTGTTGTGCGAAAAACCAGACGGATGGCTCACTCGGATGAATATGGCGTAGTCAACGCAGTGATAAGCCAACTTACTTGCGGAGCCTTCATCAATCGCCTACCACGCGTAAACGTGTAGCGTCCGTCTGAGGGAGGCGGGAGGAGCTGGGGGAAAGGGGAGGCTGGGGGAGGGAGGCTGGGGAGGAAGGGCGGAGGCCCGGGGAAGGGGGAGGATCTGGGGAAGGGGGAGGCTGGGGAAGGGGAGGGCTGGGAAGGGAGGTCTGGGAGAGGGGAGCTGGCCAAACAGGGGGAGACTGGGAGGGGAGCGCACTGGGGAATCGGGAGGGGGAGGCTGAGGGAAGAGGATGGAGCTGCACCAGGAGATTCTTAGAGCGGGGGAGGATGCGGAGGGGGAGGCCTTGGGAGACTACAAACACCAAAGACAGGGGAGGCCTGGGGAATGGGGAGGACTGGGGGAAGAGGGAAGCCTGGGCGGCGGACAGGGGAGGCTGGGGGAAGGGAGGGCTGGGAGAATGGGGAGGCTGGGGAATGCGGATAACTGGAACAGGGGGGCAGTGCGGGGGACCAGTAGGGCAGAACTGGGGAGAGGGAGGCGTGGGGGAACGGGGAGCCGTAGGAGGCGATGCTGGGAAGGCGGAAGGGCTGGGGGAAAGGAGTTAATAAGGGAGCGGGGAAAAGGGGAGGAGGGAAGGGAGGAGGCTGAGGGAGAAGGGGAGGCTGGGAAGAGGGGAGGCTGGGAAGGGAGGACTGGGGGGGGATGCCTGGGGAGAGGGCAAATGCTGGGGGAAGGCGGGAGGCTGGGGGAAGGGGGAGGATGGGCGGAGGGGCTGACTGGGGGAAGGGGGAGGCTGGGGAAGGGGAGGCTGGAACGGGAGGGGCTGGGAAGGGATATACATGGGACGGGAGGAGATGCTGGGGCGAAGGGGGGAGGCGGGGGGAAGAGGGACTGGGGGAGGGCAGGCTGATGGGAGGGGAGCTGGGGAAGGGGAAGCAGGGGAAGGGGGAGGCTGGGAAAAAGGGGAGCACACTGGAGAAAGGGGAAGGACTGGGAAAAAGGGGAGGCTAGAGGGACGGAGGGGAAGGCTCGGCATGGGGAAAGGGGAGAGGGCTGGGGAAGGGGAGCCTGGGGGAGGAGGGGAGCTTAGAGGAAAGTGGAGAAGGCTTGGGGGAGGGGAGAGCTGGCGGAGGAGATGCCCTGGGCGACGAGAGGGGAGGCGAGAGAAAGCGGGAGAGCTCAGGGGAAAGCGGGGAGCGGCTGGGGAACAGGGGGAGATCGGGGGATAACGAGAGCGTGCACCGCATTCTGCACCATCTTATCATATTGTCACTCGATCGGTATTCGCGAAGCAGTGAAGTAATGTCGGATTATATATCCGTGAACTGGAGAAGCCGGTGGCGGCAACGGTGGCCGAGCATAGCAGAAACGTAGTTGATAAGGCGCGTGCGCCGGAGGCTATAGGGCAGACACGCCGCGCGAGAGCTTAGGAAATCAAAAATGCGCCCAGATTGTCTTTTGTGTACGTCTTTGCTACCTAGCCTATTGATGGACTTCTGTTGCGGAAGGCGATGTATCGTGGGCTCAGCTAGTTATCCAGAGACCGGCTAATGGCGATCGTGATCGTCGTGTGCCGTGCGTGATTGCGTGACGGTGCTGCGAGCGCCGCCATGTTGTGTGTGTGAGCCGTGCGTGCGTGAAGGCGTGTGTGTGTGTTGTGTGTGTGCAGACCGCGTGAGTGCGTGTGCGTGCGTATGCGTGTACGTACGTGTGTGTAATAGTGTGGTTATAAGTACACGGTGCGCACCAAGTCAATCAACACTCGCCAGTCAGGTAATCAAAGCTAACGTTTTTGTCTTTCCCTTCAGACCTCTGGGAATCTTCGGCCCACGGCCTTCAAAAGGCGGCAATCAATCCACCGCGTAGTGAGATGAACTGGCATCCTGCACCAGAAGAACCGCCCCGAAGCGCAGATACACATAGCATTTCGGAAGGTCAGATGTATAGTTGGCCGAGGGAGAGTCGCATGACGACCAGATGCTTTCCCAACCACGCCCGCGGCCGCAACCACACACGAGGGGCCGGCCGGCCCGGCAGGGCGGACTCACCAGAGCACCAATCCCGTCTTTCCGTCAGTCTGACTACGATTATAATAAATATAGACTACCGATACATTCTAATAATACTTCAATAACATACTGATGCCAGATAATAATACAGCATTACTTTTATACTATACGAATTATAATCGTTGATATATAGTTGTAAGCTTACTGTAAAATGGTTACCGAATACATTACCGAATGATGGATAATAACTTGAATGTCATTTTCCCGTGTCAGCCTTGTGATGCCAACCGCGCGCCGGCTCAGGCTGATCATACCATGGACGATGATATATGATGTTGCTGACTGCTGCTGCTGTTGTTTGTGTTTGTGTCTGTTGTATGCTGGCGCGCTGCTGCTGCTACTGGCTACTGCTTACTGCAGCTTGCTAAGCTGCTACTGCATCTAAACCTGCTAATGCTAAAGCGCTCACTGTGCCTAAACGCTATTGCTACATGCTACTGCTACTGACTAACCAACCAGTCGGGACCTGCTACCTGCTACTGCTACGCTATCTGCTACTCACTACGCTACGCTGCCGCTAACTGCTAACTATACCTCGCTTCTGTTAACTGCTAACTCTGACTGCCTACTGCTACTGCTACTATGCTAACTGTTACTACTACTACTTTTTCTGCTCGTTGTTTCTGTGATAATGATCCGTGCAGAGAGCGCCGCGTTCTCGGTGGTCCTCCCTTTCAACGTGAATTTCTAACTCTTACGGTAACCGCGCCTCACATTCATCATCACTGCTTCTACGCGAGACTGATCGTGCACGCAGACAAGTCTTATTAAATGTAGAATACCATTAACCGAATGGATGGATAAAAACTTGAATAGTCATTTTCCGCGTGCCCTTGAGCCACTGCTGCTGCACTGCTGATACTGACATTGAATGATGGATTGCTGGGCTGCCGCCTGGACGCTAGGTGTTGTTGTTGTGTTAGCTGTTGTTCGTTGTGACTGCTGCTGCTACTGACGCTACTGCTACTGGCTAACTGCTATAATATCTGCTAGAGCTGCTAACTGCCTACCTGCTACTGCTACTGGATACTGCTACTGCTACCTGCTACTGCGCTACTGCTCTGTACTGCTACTTGCACGCTACTGCTAACTGAGCTACTAGCTACGCTACTGCTACTGGCTGCACTACGGAGCGCTACTGCTGACTAGTGCTATTGCTACTGCAGCGCTACTACTACTGCTACTGGCCTACTAACTACTGCTACTGCCACGCTACTGCTACTGCTACTACTACTTGCTACTGCTACCTGCACTGCTAACTGCTACTGGCGACTAACTACTAACTACTACTACTACTGCTAACTGTACTACTACTGCTACTGTCCTAACGCTAACTGCTAATGGCTACTTGCCTACTTTACTGCTACTGCTACTCCGCTACTGCTACTGGCACTGGTTACTACTACTGCTACTGCTATCGCTACTAACTACTACTACTACTACGTGCACTGCTACTGCTACTGCTTACTGCTAACTGCTACTGGCTGACTGCTAACTGCTAAACTGCTCGTTTTCCCTGTGAATAAATGCCTGGCAGCGCCGCGTGTCTCTTAAACGAATTTCGTAACTCTTACGGTACTACTCACATTCTGACTCTACACTGCTTCTTCTTACGCACGACTGATCAAGCAAGACGCGCGCAAAACCTTCGATCGGGTTCTAAGGTTTGAGCTTACAACGATATGTTCGAAGGAAGGCCCATATTAACGAGCAGGAGCAACCGTAAAAGGAGAGCCACAGGGGCGCCAACTTTCCGTGTATTACATCGGAGCAACAGCAAGTAACGGTGATTACAAATCGCGTTTAAATATTAAATAATGGCGCCAAATGTTTTTGTGTATAAATATAAATATATTTAATAATTGCGTTTAAATGGCAGCCCCTCGACTTGTCTAGCCGATCTTGCGCGCGTGAGGTGCGGTTACTACCCACATAGGAACTTTCCCTCTTAGCTATCGAACATTTTCACCATCGTCGTGTCACTCTGCCATCCAGGTGTCGCTGGCGGTGGGCTGTAACTACCGGACGTGACTCCCCTCTCGAACAAAGGGTCGCCTTAGGGTCTATACGGCAGCCGCACGTTTTAGGTATGATCGATATTAAGACTACTAGGCACATATATGGACGGAAGCTTAGGATGACTAGCTAGGGCACCTAAAAATAGGCACCTCGATAGCACCCTAGGCGTTCTATACAGGGGACCCTGATCTTACCCTGTCCTTGTCGCTCTGCACCAGGGTGCCGGCGTGCGAGTGAGACCGTGCGAAGCGCGATGCGAAAAGCTAAGCGCCCGATAAGAAGGTTCCACGACGCTACTACATGCCTACATGCGCCGGCAAGCTGGGCGTCAGACGCTTGCGTGCTGAGGTAAAACCTAAAAATGCAGTATTAATCGTTATTCGTTAATTCGCAAAATTTATCGTTTTATATTTTAAATATTTTTATATTATTATTATCTAAATCTCATTAAAATACGATATGTATAACATGTTTTATTTTGTCGAGATTTGTTTGCGGATGTTTGAAAGGGGCCTCAGTGATGATGAGTGTTGGCGCGGTTAATACTGCGAGAGTATACATTCAACAAGAACGGACAACTACTCACACGCTTTATTGAGTTCTTTCAATACTCTGGACCTAATGCACCCTTAGATTAGTTGATTTTGTAGCAATTAACGTCTTAAATTAAATCACAAAAGTGGAAGACAATAGGTGGATCCGATCTAACTTGCATTCTTAGCAAGACAGGCATTAAAGAGACACGAGTCTGAACATTGTGGATTAACTTCCGAGAGCATCTGTTACATACCTTCTTCTACTATTTTGAGTAAATTTTTGCGCATTTTTCCCATATTATTTTCATCGAATAAACGATCATATCGTCTCATGCCGTACGGTCGATCTGTTCAAGAACACAGGGTACATCGGAAGCGTGGTTAAAAACAGCTTTGCGCACACCCGATCGTGCGCCGCCACGATGGAACCTCGTGCAGTTCAGAGGAACCGGAAGGCGTTCTCGGTCAGATAGGAGAGCGTTGAAGGCGAGCTGCCACCAGAGACGACGTAGGTCAGCCAGGCTAGAAAATCTCAGACCACGCTGCGGGGCGCAAGAAATGACGCCAGCGCCATCTGATGGCGACTCACCGCGAACTACGCACTTCTTCGCGGGGGAGAAACGGGGCACCGGCCATTCCGGAGTGTTACTATATTGTATCCCATGAGAGAAACGAGGTGCGATTTTTGAAATTCGCTAAGTGGCGCGAAAAGACTGTGGAATGCAAAAATAAGGATAGAAATATGGGTGCCTGGTGGGTGTTTTCCCGAACTGATAAAATTGCGCTGGTTGTTTTCAGACGCAATATTAATTTTAAGAAAAAACAACGCGTCGAAATCCATGACGAACACCAAGACTATGAATATATTATAGTTCGGTTCTATATAGTTGTATCCTACATAAAAAAATTGGTTTCATTAAAAGTAAAAACCTATGTTGATTGTTTTGTGAGAAAACGTGTGGTTCTTGTCTCATG